CTTCCCTGAAAACCGCCTTTGTTCTTGGCAAAAAATGCATTCTTTGCCTTTGGTCTGGGAATCTCATGAATATCCATCACTTGAATCGTCCTCTGCTTTTTGGCTGCACATTAGGGGGAAAAAAAAGAACAAAAAAGAAAAAAACGGAGAGAGGAAAAAAAAGAACCATCCACAAACAAGCAAAAGTCAGCCAATCACAAGATTCAAAGCTTATACTAACGCAAATGAATGCAAACTCTAAATCAGACCATTCTCGGCTTCTTGATAGTTCTCCTGAAGCCGCCTTCTTGCTGAATTTAACCTCTCATCATCCATGACTGGGATTGATCTCTACAAATCACATTATAGCATATGAGAAACTCAATCAAATTGAACCAACTTTAAACTAGCATATCTTCAATTAGAAACAAAACACATGAAAAGTAGGTAAATTTAGTTAGTCTCACTGCATACATGAAAGCTAATGCCCTTGGCAATTTTACATAACGAAAATATATCGGGAAGGCACAAGTTTGACATTTAACATACATCCATAAAGAAACACAAGCACACAAATAACCCAAACATATGGAGCAAATGTGGGCAAGCAGCCAAGTACATTGGGAGGAGTCGAAGATTTCGAAAGTGATTGTGGAGGTGGTCGTGTAGAAGTTTCTCTTCGGGGTATAGATTTTGGTACACACTTCTGCTTCATTTCACGCTCTTCATTATTCTTTTCAACAGAAGAACTCCCATCTATCAGGAAGCCCAAAAATGGGGAAGAGATTAAACCATAAGAAATAAAAATGTAGAGTAGATAAGTAGATTAATGACGAATTGAAACAAGCTAATAAATCACTAGCTGCGAGTTCAATACTGAATGTCAACTCACTCTGTGGATTTGGGGAGTACCCAAAATCAGGGACCTGCAAAAATCAAAGCTTCAGAGTTTCAACTGCTGATATTTTAAGGCAGTTTCCAATTATTTCAGTCATCCATTACATTCTTTTTCCTTATTTTTTTCCTTGTTTGTTTCCCTATAAATGTATCAGTTTAGAATAACTTTCAATTCACCTGGTGATGGCCATTTTGTTGATTTTTGGGAATGCTCTGCTGAGGTGAATCCCCATCAGCTGCCACCACCAACATTAACTTATGAAACTCTTCTTAACTTCAACTACTTTTAGCTACTGTATTAGACAATAGTAAAGAAAGCAACTTCCAGTTTTGAAAAACTACGTTACCATTTAGGTTTGCAGTCCCTTTTCGTTGGTTCACCCTAACCCATTCATCCACAGTTTCCTTCCATTTTCTGCAGTCCCAAGAACAAAATCAACCATGAAAACAATAACAACCTGCAACTAACTTTAATACTGAAGAGTTTGACAGATTCCAAGAAATGGATACACAAAGAAGATTATTAAAAGTGAAAGAACAAAATGGAAACCTGACAAGTTGCTTCACCAATACCCGAACCTCATTCGATGGATGTTTCCTCAATCGGTTCACATGTCTTCCTATGTCAGTTTCCTAGCAATCAATCAGAAAGCACTTATAAAACCAAATTAGATAACCAAAAGTTCCATCTTATTGTTCTTCAACCAGATAGGCTTAACTTTCACCTTCAGCGCTTGAAATGTGATTTCCATATCTGCCAGGTTCTGAAGCAACTGGACCACATCATCTTCACTCTGAATCAAGGATTTCTTTTTTTTTTAATTATTACTTGGGAAAAAAGATAAACTAATAAAAAATCTCGTTAAAGGAAAAAAATTGAAATAAAACGTAAACCTGCAGTGGATCTTCAAGCTGCTCTTTGATGCTGAGGATTTTGGTCTGCTCATCATCAAACAACCCACCGTACGGATCGAAATCCTCTTCCTCTACCCCGCCGTTAATCTCCTGGTGGTTGGACTCCGGCGTCAACGGGCTCTTGCCAAAATCATCATTCGAATTCATGTTGCCTTTATCGTCGTCATCAAACTTTTTACCGTCGTCATTATATTCATCATCATAGTCGCCATTATCAATGTTATCGCTGTTATTGTAATTGTTACTAACAGCCTGCGGATAATACGGCTCGTCGACACCGCCGTCCTGGTACAGGCTGCCGTTGCAGTTCCGGCAGAGCTGTGCTGGCGGTGCGTAGAGCGCCTCGACGAATTTGTCACGGCGGCGCTGCAGCTCCTCGCCGTAGTCCGAGGAGGCAACTTTAATCGCGGCCTCGATCAGCTCCCAAATCCCAAATCTGGATCCCGATAAGATAGTCCGAAATTCCTCCGAATCCATGCCGACTAAATTCCTTTTTCCTTTTGCTAACTTCTTTTTTTTTTTTTAATTATTTGGTAAACAAGAAAGAAATAATAATTATAGGAAAATAAATTGGGAAAAAAAATGAGAAAAGAGGAGGAAACTGTGAGGGTTACATCAGCGGATCTAGGGATTTTGGTATGGATTCCATGAATGACGATAACGAGGTAAACGACACCGTACCGATGTCTTCTGGAATTCAATGTAATGAATGAGTTGTGAATGAATAAAAACAAGAGAAGAGAGGAAATTAGATAAAAAAACAAAATCACTTTTATTTTAATTATTATGTTCCTTATTTTGGCTTTAATTCTGAAAATAGAAAGGATGTGGAATCTACGCACTTACGTATTTGTCCCGAGGAATAGCTTCTGCTGATATGAAGAGTGGTGGATGTTTTTAGGGCTTTTCCTTTGGGGAATAGAAAAAAGGTATGTTGTTTAAGGGTTTCGTTACCGTGTAAGAAAGGTATTGGTGAACTGTGCCCGCATCACTAATTGGGTACTTCATCGAATTTTAGTTATNCAGCCGCATGGCCGACTAGCCATAATACAACCCGTAGAACCACTCCAAGATGGTGGCCTATCACAACACAAAAAACGGACAACAGGCTTAACCGAAGCTAAGGGGACCTGCGCCGTCACAACAACCTAACACACAAACAACAACCGAACTCTAAGCAACAATACATAATCCAAGCCACTGAACCTGAATGGACCTAGCTATGGATACAGAAGTTAAATAACAAACCAAGAACAACAAAAACCAACAAAAATGAAAAATAAAAAATAAAAACTACACATAAGAGGCAGCTTCCGACCATTCTCCATGAGCGCACTTGGCCACATTCTCCTCCGGCATCCATACTTTTTGGAAGACCCATAAGTTCCGTGACTTCCACAGCCACCACAGAATGTACGTTGATAATTGGATGCGAGCTTTAGAAGCTGGAGACAACTTCATTTCTGCAATTTTCCACCACCAACCTTTAAAGCCTGTGTGAGCTGTTTCATTGAAATCCCATGATACTGAAGAAGCCTTCCATACCTGCTGAGCCCTTCTGCAAGCAAAAAATAAATGAGAAACAGTTTCTATCTCCTCCCCACAGCATCTGCATAAGGGGTCCACATCAATTCTTCTCTGCAGTAAATTCTGAGCAACTGGGAGATTATTTGTAAAGCACTTCCACAGAAAATGTCTAAGCTTCGGTTTAACTTGCAAGGACCAATACCTCATCCTAGCTTTCTTATCCAAACTCTGATTATAGCTGCAACTAGGAATATCAAGTTTCAACACCTTCTGATTTATAGCAACCTCATAAGCTGAAGCCACAGAAAAAAGGCCCTTAGCATCTGGACACCAAATCCATCTGTCTCTCTTCTCAGGATTCAGACACTCCATCTTCAAAATTTCTGCACAAGACTGTGGAGTGAAAAGCTGTTGCAGCAAGGAACTGTTCCAGGCTCTACCAGTATCAGACAATAAGTCCCTAACCCAAATCACCTGCATCTGACCACAATCATGCTTAAGGCGAGGAAAACCTGTCTTGCTCCCCATCACCCAAGGATCCGAAAAGATTCTAGTACTGGCCCCATCATTCACCTGCTTCCTAAACCTGTTGCTATGCTTGTTCATCACTTTAACCCAAGAGTTCCATAGCCAAGATGCTGAAGCTTTCCCTTTAACATTTAACACACACTCATTTGGGAAATACTTCTCCTTCAGTATTCTAGTCATAAGAGAATTAGGTTTAGTTAGCAATCTCCAGATCTGTTTCAAAATTAGAGAGTCATTGACAACCCTAAAGTCTTTAAAACCAAGTCCCCCTGCACATTTAGGTGTAGTAACCTTCTGCCATGCCAGCCAATGCACTCCATTCTGCTTCTCCTTACCAGATGACCACCAAAAATTAGCACAAAGCTGTGCTATTTCTTTGCACACCCCCACAGGTAGGCAAAAGCAAGACATCACAAAAATAGGCAAAGAAGAGATCACATCCTTCAATAGAACTTCCTTACCAGCAAAAGATAAAAACTTATTCTTCCAGCTCACAATCTTTTTCTTAACCACAGCAGTAACATATTCAAATACTTCTTTCTTACTTTTGCCAATACCTAAAGGAAGACCAAGGGATCTAGATGAGTGACATACCTCAATTCCCTGTAAGCATTGACAGATCTCCTGCTTGAGCCCAATAGAAGCATTCCTACTGAAGAAGACTGAACACTTTGTTAAATTCACTCTCTGCCCTGTAAATCTTTGGTAAGTGGCTAAAATCCTGAGCAGAGTCAAAGCATTGTGAGAATCAGCTACACAGAACATAAGTATATCATCAGCAAACATAAGATGAGACAGAACAGTCCCACCCCTTGTAAGTTTCAATCCCTGCAGCTGACCAGATCTTATCTCCTTCCCAATCAGTTTAGTAAAGATCTCAGTAACCAGCAGAAATAGATAGGGAGACAAGGGATCCCCTTGTCTAAGCCCTCTAGTGGGAACAACCATACCAGTCACCTTGCCATTGATGTTAAATGAAAAGACAGATGAAGAAATGCAAGCAAAGACCCATCTCACAAACACAGGGCTAAATCCCATTTTCCTCATTAACTTAATCAAACAATTCCACTCAACACAGTCATAAGCCTTCATCATATCTAGTTTAACAGCCATGAACCTCTTACTCCCCACCCGGTGTTTATTCAGATAGTGAAGAACTTCATGAGCAACAACCACATTATCCAGAAGCTGTCTATCAGGCATAAAAGCTGTTTGTGTTTCACTGATACAGCAATTTAAGCACTCTTTCATTCTAGCAGCAATAATCTTAGCAATAATCTTGTAAGAAACAGAACAAAGGCTTATCGGTCTATACTGATTGACAGATTCTGGATTCTCACATTTAGGAATTAAAGTTATCACTGTATGATTCCAGCTTCTTGGCATTCTACCAGTATCAAAAAAATTCAAAATGGCCGCACAGAGATCACCTTTAATAATGGGCCAAAAATGCTGGAAAAATAAAGGGGTCATACATCTTCTCCTGGTGCTTTGTTTGGGTTCATAGCAAAAAGGGCAACTTTGATTTCCTCCTCATCCACAGGTGCAATTAGTCTGGAATTCACCTCCTCAGAAATAACAGGGGATATTAGTTGCAGAATTTCTTCTTCACCTTGAGAACCTTCAGATGTAAAAAGAGATTGGTAGAAATTGATAAAACAAGTCTCAATCTGCTCCTGGCTAACTGCAACTCTATTCAAATTATCCACCACTCGAGAGATTGCATTCTTTTTCCTTCTTTGCATGGTGATGGCATGGAAGAATTTAGTATTCTTGTCCCCTCCCTTTAGCCATTGGACTCGAGCTTTTTGCCTCCAAAACTCCTCCTCTGATAGGTGAGATTCATCCAGTTGTTTTTTAACTTTGTCCCATTCCTCCCAATTCCTCTGACCACCTAGAGCTCTCATATCCTCCAACTTAAGAGTCATATCAGCAATATTCTTCACATTATCAGACTTAGACTCTTTATTCCACCTGGTTAGTGCCATCCTAGTCTTCTTAATCTTCTCTTTTAAGGTATACATCAAAGACCCTTCCACAGCTCCACTCCAAACTTTCTCCACCTCCTCTTGACATCCAGGTTTACCCAGCCACCTTTTATCAAAGCAAAACCTTTTGAAAAATTTATTTGGTGATTGACCTGTATCCAGTAGTAACAAAGAGTGATCAGAGGAGCTTTTGCAGTAGGTCTGGACTTTGGCTTGTTGATTGTCAATAATCCATGAGAAAGAACCAAACACTCTATCAAGCTTTTCCTCAATGAAGTCTTCACCTCTTCTGTTGTTACACCAGGTAAAGGGGTAGCCTTCCATGTGAACTTCCAACATTCCCATTCTAGCAATAAAGTTGTTGAAATCCTCATAGCTTCTTTGGGATCTAACTCTTCCACCTCTCTTCTCTTCATTCCCACACACTTCATTCCAATCCCCTCCTATGCACCAGGTAGAACCCCATAAATGTTGACTCCCTTCTAACTCTTGCCACTGTAGCTTCCTCTCCTGGTAATCAGTGCTTGCATAGATCAAAATGAGCCACTCACTAGTAATATCCCCAGGCAGCTTATATTCCACTTGCAGACAGAATGTAAGATTTATAATCTGTATGATCACTACTTCTCTACTCCACAGTAATAGAAGACCTCCACTCAATCCAACTGGTTCCACAGTAAAGTTCCTCTCATCAAACCCAAGCTTTTTGCACACAGTATCAGTAAAGAACTTGTTCTTTCTAGTCTCAGATAAAAAAACAAAATTTGGAAGATGGACTCTTATGGAATCCTTGATCTGGGATACTGTAGAGGGTCCTCCCAAACCTCTACAGTTCCACAGGATTGTCTTCATTTGTCACCATGGGGCCATTCAAGGCTGGCTACCCCCACCTGTTGCTCTTGGTTATGAATCACCTTCCTTAGATTTCTGATCACTACCTCTGAATTCTCCTCCCCTGGTTTATTGTTTTGTAACTTTGGTGGTCTGCCTCTCTTGCCCAACATTGGATAATCCCTGACCAAACTAGGTTCCTCAGTTCTCTGCAATCTACCTGATTCTGACTTTATCCTCTTCCATGTTGAATTCTTATCCTTTGCATTCTCATGCTGTATTATCTGTGTACCTTCCTCCCTGATAGCTAGCTCTTTGCCTTGAGTCTCAGACTCTTTGTGAGCACTCTCTTTGTCCTCCACCACCACTAGTTGTCCCTCCTGTGTCATGAACTGGTCTTCATCCTGGCTCATAGTAGTATCAATAATTTCATTTACCACAGGACTGACCACTTGTGCTATTGACATGTAATCATTTGGGAGATTCCCATGTGATAGATTTTCAGTTTCCTCTCCTAAGATCTTGTTCCCATCATGTTCCTCTGCAGGGATTATGTTGGACGGTTCCCCTGTATGTTTCTGATTACTATTAGACTGGGATGGATTAGAGTTTGGAGAGGATCCACCCATTCTTCCCGTTTCCATAGCTTTCAACCATTCACCGTACTGCCCCACTTTCTGGTTTCCTTCCTCAATATCCTTAGCTCGGATTTTACAAGCCCTTTCCAGATGACCTACCAGACCACAATAAAAATAGCAGCTGACTAGCTTTTCATACAGAAATGTTACTCCCATTCTTTGGTCATCTAGCCTGATGTGAGCACACCTGAGAATTGGTTCTGCCACGTCGTGCGATACTAATAGCCTTAGGTAGCTGCCTTGAGCACCCCCTGATTTCACCACAATAACATTTTTGATTTTCTTAAACAGCCTCCCAATCTTCCTACCCACCTCAACACTCAGCCAATTCAGAGGTAGCTTGTGCACTTGCACCCATAATGAGATTTCACTGAAGCCCGGGTCCAGAGCAGTTAGACCCTCTCGCCATTCTTGTAGCACCAGATATTGATTTTCAAAAACCCAGTTAACTCCCGCTAATACCTTATCCTTGTCCTCCTTGCAGCCAAAGATAAATTGGAATAGATTTTCTCCGACCTCTTTTACTTCGAAAGCTCTGGCAGTTTGCCATACCAGCCCCATTAGCCTCTTCAATCCATAAATGTTAGCCTTACGATCCCCTATAATCTTACCCAGCACACTTCGTCGGCATTCCTCATCACTTAATTTGACGTCATTACTGTCAAGTTCCACTTCTCGACTCTCCTTTAATGATAGCTCCAAAGCTCGAAATTGTTCCCCCAAGTCTTCGGCCATTGCCGAAGTCGAAATGAAATCCCGTACACAGAAAGCCTGGGATTCACGAATTGATACCAAGGCAAGATCAATGCTCTCGATCGCCGACGAAGATGAAACAACCATTTTTTTGGAAAGGGGAAGTTTAAAGAGAAAAGTAGAAGATTCGAGATTGATTCTTACCACAGAACTCGAAAGACGGAATCACATGAGGAAAGTCGAGAGAAATCAATGCTTTTTCTAAATTGCGCTAGAAATTCTGAATTTGTAGAAAATAGCTCAAAATCGCAGAAGTGAAAAAAGATAAGAGGAGGAAGAAGAAGAAGGTCGTTTTATATGAAAACCTTCGACCACTCAGAGAAGCTCGTGTGGAGCAACATTCCAAAATTGAAAAAAGGGTAAAAAATGCGAACGGCTCAGATCGAGGCCACATCACCCAGCATAAGTTTATTTGCACGCCTTTTTAGGCATTTATGGAAATTGGGAGACGCAACATGAATGAAAAAAACCCTTCAAATGTCATGATTAGTGCTTGGGGATGGAACCACCTTGAAGGACGCGCCAATCATGATTAAAGGCCTAGATGAACTCAGAAGTGGGTCTAGAGTACGACCTCAGAAAAGTCACTAGCCGTGGCATATCCAACCTCGGGGTCCTATAAGTTGACCCCTGAGTTGAGAAATGGGCCCACAAGAGAGAGTAGGACAGTTCGCACCCGATGAACCGAACTGGATTCCCAAGTCGGTCACCCGACAGAGAAGGACCGAGGTGAAATGTACAACGAGACCAAATTCAAAAAGGACTTTAACCTAAGCCAGACGGACAGTCCGAGCAGAAGGTAATCAAATAAAAGCCACTTGCAGCCTAATGATGGGAAAAGTACATCTCTATCAGCTAAATTGCTGGCCTACAACTCTTAGGCTCATAGGGTTTGTCTAATCAATTAAATACGTACCGTATAGCCTGATGAACAGTTCTCGGGTTACTGTTACTATATATATCCTTATAATTGATCTGAAAAGGGTGGTTGTTTATAAAAATAACACAACTCACGAGATAAAAACTCTCACATTACCAAAGTTCTGAAAAACGAACCGGTCATCAAACAAATTAAGCTACTGGTTTAATGGTTCACTGGTCGGACCAGTGGTCGAACCAGTTTAATTAATATATAATTTTTTATTTATTTTATATGTATAGTATATCATTATCTATGTTTTTATAATTAATTTTTAGTGTATAATGACATTTCTCTAAATAAGAGTTCAATAATCAATATCATAATTATAATTTACCATATGTTTGTAATTTGTATTTTAATTTTATTTTTCTTTTTAGTGTTCATTATGTAAAGAATATATAAAATAAAAAATCAATTTTAAGCTTTGATTTTGATTACTATTAAAAAACTCATGAGTTACACTTATGGCATGATTGGTATGATGGAATGGAATTTCGTAGGAATGGAATGAATTGCAGAATGGAATGATTATGGGAATAGAATGAAACATGTTTTGTCATTGATGCGTTTGGTATGCAGAAGGAATAAGACCGAAATGGAATGACATTATTATCTTTTATTATGAAAATAAATAAAAGCTTTTTATAAAAAAAAAATATACTTTTAATAAATTATATATAAATAATTTTTCAATAATATATTTTTAATAATATATAAAAATAAAATAATATATTGTTTAATAATATAAAAAATAATATACTTTTATATTATATATAAAAAATAATATATTCTTAAAAGTAATATATTTTTATAATTTAAAAAATAATATATTTTTAATAATTTTTAAAAATAAAAAGTAATATATTTTTAATAATTTATATTTTATTTTTTAATTAAACAGTAAATAAAAGTAAGTTTTCAATTTTTTATTTGAACTTATTTTTTAAAATAATATATTTTTAATAATATTTAAAAATAAAAATTAATATATTTTTAATAATATATAATTTTAATATTTTTCAATAATATATTTTTAATAATATATTATTAATAGTATTATATTTTTAATATATAAAAATAATATATTTTTAATAATATATAAAAATGAAATAATATATTTTTAAATTATATATAAATGCTTATTTTAGTTTTATTTTTATATAAGTATTTAATATATCTAATTAAAAAATAAATAAAAGTAAGTTTTCAATTTTTTTATTTGAATTTTTTTTAAAAAAATAATTTTATTTAATATATTTTAATCATGATTTATAATATATATTATATATTTATTTTTTATTATTATTTGTTAATTTTATTTTTGAAAAATTGATTCCTACACAAATGTGAATGAGAAAACCTTCCATTTACTATGGAATGACTCATCCCATGGAGATAAGTTTTGCCATTTCCATTGGAATAGTCATTCCTTCCCAAAAAAATATACCAATCATGGGATAAGAAATGAGTAAGGGAATGATCATTCCATTCCCATGTCATTCCTTCCTACCAATCATGCCATTAGGGTGACGTATTTCAAAGTCAAAGTCATACAATGACAAGTGAACAAACGATGAAAAAAATTGAGTAAATAAAAATAATGCTGGGGGAAGAATCGAACACAACACCTAGCACACTACAAATGCCTATCTTGCCATTACACCACACACACATTTTTATGAATTGGACATAGACTGTTACTTTTTGTGTAAGTAACGTTTAAAATTGTAAACCGTCTGGTTGAACTGCTACCGGTTTACCAGTTTTTGACTAGTTCGAGCGGTTCATGACCGGTTTTTGGGTCCAGTGGTTTAATATCCCAAACCGGACCGGTGTTCTAGCCGGTTTCAGGTAAATCGGTCGAACTGGTCTGTTCGGTCTGGTTTTCTAAACCATGCACATTACACACTTAAGTAAACTATTGGTCCGAGCAATAACAGTATTGGCCGACCTGAGCCATTATTATTCCGGTACCTTCTTGTAACATTTTGTTCTTAATTTTCGTTCAATTTCTCTACTGTAGATATTCACGTTAATCTTAATCAAGCATCGAAAACAAAATCCATTTTAAACACCTTTAATTTCTTGATCAAATTTGTTTATTAACAACTATAGCCCTCATCCAAAAAAAAAGGAAAAACTCCAATATCCTGAAAGACTTTAGACCCATTAATCTCTGCACGCTAACTTATAAGCCCATCTCAAAAATATTAGCTAACTTTCTCAAACTAGTTTTTTCACTTTTGCATCAGCTCTACGGCTGCAAACGAGCCGATCCGAGTCGAGCATTGGCCTTATCGAGTAGGATTGATTTTTTTTAGCTGCTCGAGCTCGATTTTTTAGGCTCAAGCTCGACTCGATAAGAAAATACAATACGAGCTCGAACTCGACTCGAATTCAAAATGCCCGAGCTCGGCTCGAGTTCGGTTCGAAAATTTTCAAACAATTTTGTCAAATTATATATAGAAGGGATATTTTAGTAATTTACCATATATCTCGAGCCTCTCGCGAGCCGCTCGACAATGTAAAATATAGGCTCGAGCTCAACTCAAGTTCGTGTTCGAGCCGCTCGAGCTCAACTCGAGTTCGGTCAAACTCGAGCTCGATCCGAGATTTAACTCGAGCTCTCACGAGCGGCTGTGCAGCCCTAATCAGCCCCAATCAAGCAGCTTTTGTCTTTGGCATATAACTTCTTGATATCTTTGTCATTGCTAATGAGTACATACACTACTTAAAAAACAAAAAATCAGGGAAAACAATTTCATGGCCCTAAAACTTGACATGATGAAAGCCTTTGACAGTGTAGAATGACTTTTCTTGGCTACAATTTGCGAAAAAAAAGGGTTTTTGTCAACAATTCATTTCTTGGTTAATATCTTGTGTTACCTCTTCCACTTTTTCCTTTAACATAAATAACCTGCCTTTAGGTTTCTTAAAACCCTTTGAAGGTTTGAGACAGGGTGACCCCCTCTCACCCTATATGTTCATCATCATCTCAGAGTCCCTTTCAAATCTCACTAAACAAGCCTCTCTTTTGCACTCTTTCCAAGGCATCAACAAGAAATCTCATGCATTCACCCACCTTTTCTTTGTAGATGATTTCATATTCTTCTGTAAAATTTTGACTCTTCTCATGCCACCCTGCCAATATCCTTATAATCTATGGCTTAGAGCCTTAAACTCTGGCTAGATGGTGAACCTCACGAAATCTTCTGTCTATTTCTCAAAGAACACCCCTGATTCTATAGTGGCTGAAAAAGGCTCAATCTTGGATGAAATATATGTAGTTAAGTCCTCAAGATATTTAGGCTTGCCCTTAGGGCTTGGTAAATAACAAAAAAGACACCTCCAGTTTTGTTGTAAATAATGTTATTAGTAGGCTTAATTCTTGGAAAAATATCTTTTTAGGTGAAGCTCGAAAAGAAAATTCTTTTGAAATCTTTCATAGAAGTTTTACCTTCTTTTGTCATGTCATGTTTTAAATTACCCTTTTGTGTTTGTAAGGAAATCTGCAGGCTTTCTGCCTCATTTTGGTGAAGGGCAAAAACTCCACTGGGCTTCATGGCACAAACTAAATCTGCCCAAGGAGGACGGAGGTATGGGATTCGAATGCCTAGTTTCTTTCAATGAGGCACTCATCACAAAACAGTTGTGAAGGCTCATCTATCACCTTGAACTTTTAATGAGCAAGGTCCTGAAAGGTAAATATTTCCATCACTGCTCTTTGTCGGAAGCTCAACACAAATCATCTGATTCATGGCTTTGGAGCACTTGGTTAAGAGCTAGGTCACACATTGAAAAGTGAGCTTTGAAGTCAATTGGAGATGGAAAGTGCATCTCAATCTGGAAAGACCCTTGGATATCTAGTAATACAGGTTTCACCCTTTCATTAACTTTTAGCTCAGATAGCATGATGCTCCAGAAGGTCAGTGACTTGCTTTGTTCTGATGGCTCTACTAGGGATAAAGAATTGATAGAGAAATCTTTCAAACAAGGAGAGGCTAGTCTCATTCTGAATATTTTCCTGATCAGAAAAGGTGTGGTTGTCTCACAAGCAAGGTAAACTCTTTGTTAAATCTGCTTAGTCTCTCATCCTCAAAAGCAAACTGAATGGTCTCAGACCCCCTGAATTAAGTAGAAATGGGCTGCTAGAATCGAAAGTTCGGAAAACCATTTGGTCACTGAAAATAAAAAAAACAAGATCAAGGTTTTCCTTTGGATGTGTTAGCGAAGTTCCATTGGCTCACAAGACTAACTAATCAGAAAAGGCCTCCAAGTTGACCCAATCTGTCGTGTCTGTGGGAACTCTGAAGAATCCCTTGAGCACATTTTCTTCACATGTCCAAGGGCTGTTAAGGTTTGGTACCTGGCAGGTGTTGAGTGGGAAGGAATCCATTGTTCATCAATATCTTTCAAAGTCTGGTCGACTGATATCTGCAATATGAAGCGGGTTAAAAGCTTCAATGACATAATGCACTTCTCTTATTATATCTTATGGAGATTGTGGAAATCTAAAAATTTATGGGTTTTCAATAATTGTTGGAGATACGAGGTAGAAATTGCAAAAAATGCTTGGAGAGATTAGGTGGAGTTTGAGGTTTGAATCTTTTGGCTGTCTGATTTCCTTTGGCTTGTTTAGCTGTTGTTTTTCTTCTTTTGGCCTCTACCTGTTGAAGTTTGGAGCGATGTTTTCTGTGGTTTCTCTGCTAGAGACTTTTGGGTTCAATGGTAGGGTTGCTACCTGGTCTTTATTGCTGCAGTTGTCTTTTTTGTCTAGATTTTTTTTTCGTTGGTTGTTGCTTGGTCTTCGTTTGTGAATTTTTTAGATGTTTGTAGCTTGTTCTTTGTCTGCTTTGGTCTTCTTTAGCCTTAGTTTGGTCCTTTACTCCTTTTTCTTGTTCTCTTGGGTTGTTTGTAGGGTTGTTCCCCTTCTAACTTAGCTACAGGTTGATAACTAAGGTTTGTGCTGTTTGGCACGCTTATCTGTACTCTGCTCTGAGTTTGTTTTCAATATTATTTCCGTTTAAAAAAAAATTATAATGTGTAGAATTACCCAATAATTTAAAAGTAAAATTAATATAAAACAAACCAAAGACAGAAATATTTTAAGTTAACATAAAACTATTGTTAGGCATAAATCATGATACAATCATAGTTTGTTAACAAATTTACATATTTTCAAATTGAAATGTCAAACTCTAAAAAAATATAAACTAAAGTATGACCTTTGATATCCTGAATATGCATTTCACACAAGAATTTGTGTTAACACTATGGTTAAATTCTTAATTTTGTTTATTTGATTTAGCAATGTATGAGGCGGTTCGGTTTGTTTATTGGTACAAATATTTATCAAATCTCTAAAAACATGTTGAGTTATTGTTTTTTATTTTTTTTAGAGAAAGTCAAGTAGTCAGTGATTATTTTCGATTATGGGTGATTTGATTCAGTTTTAAATAATAAATATATACTTAAAAATCATTTAATAGAATATTCAAACCACATCTAATTAAACTAATTAATATAATAATTTATACATTTCCAAAGATTTTTAATTATATTTTGTACTTATATTAAAGTAGATTTGCATTTATTGACTCTTTTTTATTTTTATTTTTTTTTTTAAAAAAAAAAAGAAAATCGAACAAGTTCAATAAGCTGGTTTTTAATCGGTTTGGTTTACTGACCACCTATTCGTATTGGTTTGGCCGGTCCCATTTATTAAGTTCCCAATATCCTTTAATTATGGCATTCTATAATTGATGCATACGGTCGTGCAAGCACGAGAATTGTGTAACGTAAACAACTAATCGTTACGTGCGTCCCTTTCCTTGCACTTCTTTCATTTTGCATATTTCTAGCTTAAAATAAAATGTAGAATATTTGGAACCTATTATTTATTATAAAACAAGAATGTTATAATGCATTAATTTGCATTATATTTCTCTTTAGCATGTCGCGACATGCATATCCATTATCCACGTACGGATTGAATTTAAGATAATTGGGACCTCGTGTATTCCCCCATATACACTTTGACCCTAATTAACTCTACTTTCGCATAAAATATGAATTTTGAAAGGAATTAGAATAGTTAAGATGCGTTAATTCTACCAAATTAAAGATGAATCATTGTATTCTATAAATAAATAGTACTTCATCCGTTTCATATCGACCCTCGGTTTGCAAACTTGTATTTTTCTTTAACAAATTTTCTTTATTCATAGTTACTAGCACGACTATATTTTTATTTGCGTAAGAGTAAATATACAGTAATTAACTAATAGAGTAAGAAATATTTAAAATGATTTGCGTTGCTTACCCTCAAATTGTCAAAAAATGATGATTATTTAAATTATATTTTTAAAATCAAAGATCATCATCAAAACATGATTAATTTGATAAATCATATCTAAAAAATACAATACATATAAAAAAGTCATTAACTTTAAAAAAATATGAAATTTAATAAATTAGAACAAATAATATTAGTCTTGTATGGTTATATTTGATTTGAGAAAGGGATAAATATGACAAAATAATTGTATACTTGCTAAAATTGTAATAAATTATTTATATCAAATATAGAATCTGATTCCAAGGCAATAATGTATATATAAACCAAACTACAAAGCACATAAGTTTGCTATGTTAACATTCGAAGCGTGCGAGTCTGTCACTTATGTTCATCACATTTTAAATTAATATATAAGGAATATTTTAATAATCTAACAAAATTATGGCAATAGTGAAGAAAAATTAAGAAATTTTAGCCATGTTATTAGTTAGTTAAGAGTAGTATTAGTTAAACTTGTACAATATTTGTTTAGCAAAAACTCTAGAATTGCACTATATACATTGAATGAAACAAGCCTATGTAATGTAGTAATTATTAGTACAATACACGTGTACTATACGGGTACTTAAAAATATTAAATTTTGTACAATAAAAAAAATAAAATAATTTATATATTTTATTGTGATATGTATATGAATATACAACATTAATAAATGACTAACAAAGTGATAATTAATACGAAATGACACCTGTATTTTTACACTAATTTTCAAAATATGATATTTTTTTAATTATATTTTCCAAAATTATATGTCTAAAACATATAAGTATTTACAACTCCATACGTTTTATTTGATTTTTTTGAAAGCAAAACAAATTTTATTGTATTTTAATTATATTTTATACTTATAAAGTCGGTATCTATCATTTATTAATTTTCAAGTATTTTTAATTCAAATAATTTAGAATATTAATTAATAAAAAATATATTATTTTCTAAACTTTTGAAATGTAAAATTATTTTATTTAATTTAATTATGATATTTCTTTATATTTATTATTTTAAACAACATAATAACGTTCATTTTCTTATATAATATATTTAAATTTAGAAATAATATTTTAAAGTATAATATCAAAAACCAAACATGTACATTTGTCAATACGAAACACAAATTTATGTTAAATAAGCATACAAAACAAACGAGTCTGCAATTTAGGCTCGATGTATTCGAGAATTATATATAAAGACGATTATCAGTGACGAATCTAGGAATTTTATCGAGGGGGCCCCAATTAATAATAACAAAAAAAAAAAATCAACTGAAAATAAATAATTCAGTACATGTATCGACTAAATAAATATAAGGAATATTTCTGAGTATTACAAAAAATAACTTACGATAACATTGAGAGGTCACAACATTTCTCTTCTATTGTTCATGTTTTGAAATTGTTGCATGATAACCTCATTGCTAACGTTCCGAAATATATCTTTCTCGATGTATGTCACTAAACAATCATTCAAAAGCTCATAGCCCATTCGGTTACGTAGTGTACTTTTGATGATTTTCATTGCCGAAAAAGCTCTTTTCACTGTAGCAGTGACAACCAATAATCCAACAATAACTTAATCAACAAGCAAACAATGAAAAAATATCATGTTTTCTTCTAGACACCATCTTTTGAGCAAGATCACCAATATGGGCTACATTCGAGAAGTTTTCATCCAAGCGCATATTAAAAATGAAATTCTCGAATTGATTTTTTTTTATCGGTTTCTCAAATCTCAAGGGGTTTTTTTAGGCATATTGTATCCGATTTTACCTAATTTGTTTATTTTATTGCAAATTTACTAAAATGCCCCTACTTATTTTGAAAATTTCAGGGGGCCCAGTGCCCCCTGGCTAGGCTACAGCTCCGTCACTGACGATTATGCCACACCATACCCTAGTCATTGTAATCAAAATTATGAAATCTTATTCAACCATTTTACAAGTATTGATTTTTCTATTTAAGAATTAGTGTAAAATGAATGATGAGATATGGAATAAAATATGAATTGAAACATTTCGGCCTTGTTTGGCGATCAGCGTATAGCAGATAGCGGACTGTATCAGCGGATAGCGGATAGCTGATTTGACCAGCGGATTGCATTAGCGGTTTTTAAATAAATGTTTGGTAAATAGCTGAGAGCTTATAGCTGTTTGACATTGCAAAATGACCAATAAGGACATTTTATTATTTAGGGTGTATTCTTTTAATAATAATATATTAAAATATTTAATATTCTTTAATTGGTAATTTATAAATATATTAATTTTTTTTTCAATTTACTAACACTTGATGAAGAAGTTATGAATTTTACATTTTTCTAGATAGATTAATCATATGGATGACATATTATCATTTATTAACACCATAAACCAATGTAGATTGTAAAATAAATAAGACAAATTAAATAGATTATGAATCCTCTATCCCAAAACGCTGCTCTAATGAGCTTTTACTAAATTAGAGTTTTAGGTCCAAAAAGTTTATCAAATAAGCTATTTACCAAACAAGCTTAATAGCGGATTTGACCGGTCAAACCTCTCAATTAAATTTAATCCGCCAATTTATCTTCAATCCATTATCTACCAAACGGGACCTTCAATTTATAGTGAGGACTTCCAGAATAATCAAAAATTTCAATTATAGAATGCATTCTCATTCCCTTGTAGGTATTCCAAATCCAAAAACAGCAAAAAATATGAATATAACGATTCGATATCCTTGTATTCCAAATTCGAAGTATTGGAAAAGATTTTTACCATAAAATTTAAAAATTTTTGGTGTCAAAAATCATAAATGCAAAACCAGGTTGTGAGATATTTTGAACAGTCAAACCAAAAAAATTTGTAAAGGCGCCATGGGAAATTATAGAATGTATGTCGGAGCAGAAAAGGAAAGGTAGACCTACATCAACTCCCCTATATATTTTCCTTCCTTTCTCTCTCATCACTCCGTTGCGTTTTCTCTGTTTCTCTCTCCATAAAACGCCCACATTTTGCCGAAATAAACAGAGGATACGGAAAGTGAGGCAAAGGCAATAATTCACAAATTCATTTCATTTACAGATCGGAGAAGTTGAAAAATCCGTCCGATATGGGAGCGTGCGCGAGCAAGTTCAAGGATTCCAAGGACGCGACGGCCGACGAAGCACCGCCGCCGCCTGCCAAGGAGGAGACGGCGGTGGAGTCGGCGCCGGTGCTGGCGCAGAGGGAAGTGAATCTTGAAAAAGAAGTCGATAGGGATGATGTGCCGCCGGCGGCGGCGGAGGCGGAGGCGGCGGGTGGTGAAGCCAAATCTCAGTCTCTCGGCCGTCTGTTCGAAGAGGTGAAATTGGTAATATTATCTGCGTGAACAATATAGTGTTAATGGCACAAAATGCTAACTGCTAGGCATTTCGACTCTCATCTCTGTGGTGTTTGTTTGTTCTTTACCTTTTTTTTTTCTTTCTTTTTATTTGTGCTGGTATGTTATGGTTTTTCTTGGGTTCAGATTGAAAAAAACGAGTCATCTGCCATTGTAGCTGTTCTTTGGTGTGTATTTTACTCTAGAAATTGCAGAAAAGTGCAAGAATCTCATGATGTTCCCAGCTCAAAAGCCGAGTTATTTTAGTAGCTGCTACTTTTCTGTTATTATTTTACATTAAAGTTATCGCCATTCTCAGAACCCTAACCCTAGACCCTAATAGACGTTGTTCTGATTACATAACATTTAGTCACATCTCACATGATACTTGAACCATTATTTAGTGAGCCTACGAGCATATTTCTTGCTATATGAAAACTAGTCCAGTCTGAGTAAAAAAGTCGGTCTAAAATAGAACGCCATTGTGCCCAGAAGACTACTGAGACTGTTCTCTCTTACAAATCTGAGTGAGAGGAAGGAGTAAAAACATCTCTTTATTGAGTATTATATAAAGGATAGTTGTCCCTTGAATTTGTTTGTGTCACATTTTGTCCCGTCCAAATTTCTTAACATAATAGCTTGATTGTTGGTTGGTAAATGCATGTGGATTTTTCTTTCTTACACGCATTTGCTTTTGCATCTTCTACGTCCATTCACTTAGAAATAATCTATAGAATTTTGTTGAAAGAAGCATGGATAGATTTTGTTTGGTACTGCAGGAAGTAAAACAAGAAGTTCCAACGGAGGAAAAGAAAAAAGTAGAAAGTGGTGGTGGTCTAGAGACCGAAGAAAAGAGAGCAGATGATTTGAAACCCGCAAGTGAGGATGTGGAAAATGAAGCACCTCAGGCAGAAGCTGGAGAAAAACAAGCGGAAACTCCACAAACTGAAACATCAGAGGAAGTAGAGACTGCCAAGATTGAAAAGGCCGATGAGAACCAAGCAGACCAAGTATCTGGTTTAGACAAGAAATGTGAAACTCTTGAGGCAGATAAAAAAACTGAGGAACCCAGTCCAGTTTTAGAAGAAGAAGAAAAGAAGGAAATTGAAGAGAAACTGACCCAGATTTCTATTATTGAGGAACAGAAACCAGCTTTGGATGATGAAATTAAGAAAGTTGAAGAGAAACAGGCTGGGACTAGACAAAATGAGGAACAGAAGCCAGCTTTTGATGAGGAAAATAAGATAGTTGAAGAGAAACAGACTAAGGCTACAAAAGTTGAGGAACAGACGCCAGTTTCTGATGAGGGGAAAGAGGAAGTTGCAGAGAAAATGGTTGAGATTATGGAAACTGAGGAACAAAAACCAACTTCTGAAGAGGAAAAGAAGGGAATTGAAGAGAAACCTGTTGAAGTGGAGATACAGACACCAGCTTCAGGTGTGGAGGAGAAAACTGAGGAGAAACTGGCTCAGAATGCAAACAATGAAAAATCAGTGGATGAAATAGAGGCTAAACAAGTTGTTGATCCCCTGAAGGCAGAAACTGCTGTAGAGAACAAACCAGATGAGAAAGTTGAAACACCAGAGGCAAAAAATGAAGAGCAGGCTCGAGTTTCAGATGGGAAGACGGCTAAAACTGGTGAAGACAGGGCAGAAGACATGTGAGCAGGACTAGCACGGAGAATGACGTGTCAAAAAACCAGCTAAAAGCTATGGAAAGTTTATGGATTTTGAGAAGTGGTTTTTCATATTATCGAGTATAGTTCTGTGGTCCTTTTCTTTTTATTTTTTTGGTTGAACATATTCTTTTTCTGTTTTGGTTGATTGATTTGTTTGCTGTGCTTTAAACCTTTTATCTCAATCCTGGTTCATTGCAGTGGTTTGTATGAATGTCAATATCAACATTTGCTATTTTCCAATGTTCTTTTTCAATATTCTAAATCTTGGAAAAAGCTTTCATTTTGCTGGGAAACTCTGGAAATATCATGATGTGTATTAAAAGTAGCATTTCTATATATATTCATCATATTTGAAATTTGAATGGCTCTTGCTATTTTTATTAGGGAACCCACAGTCAAGTCACCAAAAACCATATTAAGTGAAATTCCCCACTCAAATACAAATCCAATGACAAGCATCATCCAAAAGTACAGAGAGCCTCATACTCTGTAGCATAAACATGTCGATTTTTTCAGAAACAAAAATTAACATAAAAACAAAATCAAAGGAGTGACACAAGGCTACGTTTGAAAGTACTGATTCCGGTCGAGCACTTGTGAGTAAAGTTGAGACCAAACATCTCCATATCAGGAGCTTGTCCAGGCTCGATCAGACCCACCAGCTTTGCAACAAGAAACGCGCTTTCTGTAACATGATTTACGTCTTCTGTCTTACTCCATACGAGACGTGCCAGCTGTAGCCTTCTGAGTTTAGTGTTGAGACCAATGCCCCACTCACTGAAGAGATTTTCTCTCTCTTGCTCGGAAAACTTCTTCGACATCTGCTCGCTCAGCGTTCTTCTCTCTTGCCGTAGAGCCTTGGCACTGTTAGTAAATAAATAAAGGGAATTTCAACTCGTATTAACGGANGAAAAAAAAAAAAAAAAAATGGAAGAAGAAGAAGAAGAAGAAGAATCTTACCTTGAAGAAAGTGTCAGAGTTCGTCCATCCACAACGGCCTTATCCCCACATGAAAATTTATCCTTCAATAATTTCATTCTCCTCATCTCGACCTCCAAATATATAGCATCCGAAGGATCTCCTTGGAAAAGCAGGAAGAAATAAGTCCTATGCAAAAGTGAGATGTTGCAAGCATTCCAGAGCTCGATTATCTCTCTTTGCAGCCTTCTGAACTCTACCGGCCAACTTGTGAGTCCTCTGCATTCATCTTCTGTTGTTTTTCCTTTTTGTGTAACAACCTCTTTCTCCTACATAAATCATTATAAGTAGAGTCATTAGAGTCACACGTGTGTGTGTGTGTGTGTGTGATTTTGAGAGTACAAAGAAATAAATAATGGAAATTATCGTAACTTTAGGAATATTTGAACTCACTCGTCCATTGTTAATTTCTTCTCCAGATTGTAGCTCGGTTTTCTCACTCAAATCACGATTGCTGCTAATAATCCCATCCTCACCAGCCACAAACTTTTCATCCGAGCTGTCCATTCTAGTGTTCCTTTCCAATCCAACGGCTGGTGTAGTATCTCCACCGTACTCTTCCGATTTCAACCATAGTGAAGATGAGTCACTCGTAACACTCACTCGACAGCTACTGCTTCTTGCCAGATTCAAACTTTTCCCGCCACACGAATCCTTATTTAGATACTGAATAGTGCTAAAATCGCAATTTTTGTCGAGTGCCGGGCTTTCTTTTGATGGTGGGTCCTCCTTCACTTGATATTCGTCCGCCTGATTACGTTCTTCTTCTATTCTAACAGCGGCCTGGCTGGCCCGTTCTTCAGTTTCGGGCCAAATGTGGTATGATTCGCTCACGGAAGAATTTGAGCTGCTGAGTAGGATTCTAGGGGACGTGTAGCCATGGTCAAAGCTGTCCTCGAAAAATGGGACCTTAACGTGATTTTCCGTGCTGCTTGTGCTGTGACGGTTAGAGAATGTCGGGTTTTCGATGTCCAATGTGGGATGAGCCAATGGGGAGCTTTCTTGTTTGTCGACATCTGAATCGGACTTTTGCACTCGAAGGTGAGGGTAGTGACCCGACCCCACCTAATAAAGAAAAAAAAAAGATGAAATTTTTGGAAGAACAAGAAATTGATAAAACCAGGGAAAATAAAATGAAGGTCCAAAATACGATTTTTTTTGCCCATTTAGAAGCAAGAAAACAGAATCAAGGTTCAAATGAGAGAAAATGACATATGGAAAATGATTTTTTGGCCAGGGGGTTAATAAAGTTTACCTGTGTCATGGAACTTGCATCGTCGCCTAGGATTTGTATGAATTCTTTGACTTGTGACTGAGCAATANGATGAAATTTGTAAAACATGAATTTGTAACACAAAAATAGTTGAATATTTACATAATTAACCCTTTTGATAGGCGACATTATCATATGCCACCCCATATGACCAGAACCAAAGGTGCTCATAAAAAGAATTCAAAAAGAGAGGGAAAAAAAAAAGAAAACTACTTTCTTTCGAATAGGAAACTAAGTTAAACTTAACTGCCACGGATTCCATTACCTTTTCAATCTGGGAATCTTTCTCTCTCAACATTGCATAATAATGAGACGGTCCAAAATCATTTCTGTTATTTTTCAACTCCCTCTCAAGTCTTGCCACCTCCTTCTGCAGATGATTCACTAACGTCTTATCATACATGACAACATTGACTCGGGATTTGGTAGCCACTTCCTTTGCATGGCTTGCAAACACAAGAGTGTTCCTTGACTGGTCCACTTGACTTCGGGCCGGGCTTATAGTGCATATGATGGCTGTTTTGGAATTTCCTCCAAGTGATGTTTTTAAGATTTGGGTTAGCTTAGAGTCTCCATAGGGAATTTGTCCATTCGCGTCCTTACTGTAAATGATCACCACAAAATTAAACATTTTTAAGAGTATGCTTTTTGATTTTAAACTAAAAACAAAATCTTTTTTTTTTTTTAATTAGGCTCAAGTAAATTTGAGGAAATAGAGACGTAAAATCCAGTTATCGATTGCATTTTTAGCTTCTCGGCAATAGTGTAGATGCATAAGAAAGATGAAAAGTAAGCAGAAGTGTGAAAGAAGCAATATTAACGCAACTTACAATACCTAAGCTTGTGAATTACAGTTCCAAGTGTGATCAAACTTCGATTTATGTGGCAGACCTCTTTTGATCCCATGCGTGTTGATGATGATAATAATTGTGATGCATATTCACTTGCAGCCAGATCAACAAAGTTCTGTGTCAAAATGAGAATACTGACATTGTTTTAATGTATTTGGAAAACATTAATCATGTCATAGTATTGTTTTTCATCATTTAGATAATCCATACCACAGTAGCTGCTAGAGTGCTTGTATTGTTACTGCCTAAGAACTCACGGGAAGAGCTTTCGATTGTCTGCATTATAACAAATTACTCACTTAAAGGAAATTTGAGTCTTGAGATAATTCTAGTGTACTCAAATATTCTTGCAATGCTAAGTGGATTTACATTGTATGAAATGTGAATTAACAAGTTTACCACTCTAATAATGTGGTGAGTTCCGGAGCTGATTTCACTAAGCGATGTGTCTGTAATATTTCTTTGAGCTGCAACAGTTAGCCAAAAACATTTAGGTAGAAATTTTAACCGTGCGAAAACTAATTCAATGTTTTAAACAACTCAAAGTAACAGCATAATTACCTCTACAGATAGAAAGAAGTTCATTTGCATGATTTCGATCCCTCAAGATTACCTCAGTGAGGTTTTCGACTATGGTTCCTCCCTTACAAATAAGAAACCAATCAGTAAATTTGAGAAAACAACACTATATATCCAAATAATCACAAATCAAAACGAGAAAAAGGGGAAAAAAGGGAAAAGAAAGTAAAAAAGCACCTCTAGATCGTCTAAAAGTCTTAATGGAGTACTATCTGAACCAAGAAGGTCCCGAATGGACTCATTGTAAATCTCCATAGCAGAAAACTTCAGAATAAAATCCCTGTTCGAATGCTGAAAAAGGATAATAATGTGTAGTTCTTAGAAGTCATAAGCAAGTGAAGTAATTTGCATCACAAACACTGCAAAACAATAAAGGAAGCATAAGAAAAAGATAATACTTTTCCCCAAAAAACAAGATCCTTTTTTGTTAGTGTTTGCCAATAACTTCATATGGAAGTTCTTGACACACATTAGCACTTGTAAGTACCTTTTTTATATACTCATATATATCTGCTATCGCGTATTCGGTTATCCCAGTCATTGTATACGTCTTACCGCTGCTTTTTTGCCCGTATGCAAAAACAGTTGCTGCACAAAAAATCATGAGAGTTCAGGAAAAAAAGAATCGGAATTTATAAAATACACACAACACATATAATGTGAATAAGAAAACAAAAGAACAAGAAACACAGTACTTACAATTTATTCCTCGAACGACTGAAATTGCGACATCCTTGGCTCCATGCTTATAAACCTCTCTAGTGGAGCAATCAGTACCGAATACGCTATCTACATGAAAAAAAATAATAATAATAATAGCAATAAAAATAAAATAAAAGTAATGCAACATAGTTCCAAACAAAATGTTCGATTAAGCAAAATTTTCTGAAGGGAGAGTGTGCAATGACTTGTGATTTTAACCAAATGTTGGCATTTAAAATTCTTATTGCATAATCAAAACTGGGATGTTAGCATTTGAAAACACTTCTGAAAATCTAAATTGTGCCTCAATATCGAAAAATTCACAAATTAACATCCATAAGGGATTTAATAGATACAATTCAACTAAGACATTACACCAACCAATCAAAGTGCAAACAAAACAAGCTACACATGAGTAAATGCAATAAAATTACAACATAAGAGCAAAAACAAAAAAAAAAAAAAAAAAAAAACACACACACACACATACCAAATGTATATGCCATAGGATGCATTGACCTCCCAGAATCAAGATTCTTGAAAACAATTGTATCATCATTTATGCGTTCCCAATCGCAGACTTCATTGCTCAAGACCTCATCATCATTTAACGGCCTCAACCTAACAGATACGTTAATCCTTTCTTCATTGCCTGCAATCACCTTTTCTCCACTCCCCGTTATTGCCATTCTCAGTCCTCAAAATTCACGAAAATTTACAATTGGACACCAACGTGCAGAACTAAATAAAGGGTCCCAAAATCTTAGAGAGCCCACCTGCGAAAAAGAAACGAAAACCAATATGGATACATATATGTATAAAAATCCAATCTTTATTAGACATATATATATTGGTCGTTCTTCGTCTCATGCATTGTGAAAAGGGATTTTCTTTTTTGTTCGTGTATGTGAAGATCAGAGGCACAATTTCGTAGACATCAAATGATCGCGTGCAGAAGAAACGAAATATATTGATGAGCGATCATATAAAACTGCTTTACCGGAACATTTGTTGGAACTTTTGTGCAACTTTGGCTTGAGATTTTAAAAATGAAACATATTATTTTTTTTTTTTTTTTCCGGTTGGTGTTCTTTATTTTCCAAGTCACAGATTAAGTGATCTGCTTCTTTCCCCTATGAAAAATGTGATTCCACAGAGGTCAAGAAGCAGAGACGTGATAATTTTTGACTGGAAATTGAAAATCAGATTTTATATATAAGTTTTAAGTTTTTTCCCTTTTCAGGGGGTGGGTTCTTTCTTTTAAGTTTTAAACATTTGTTGACGCTGGAAAAATTCTTACAGAGGTGAGACAGGTGACGGTGGATTTATGTTAAGACAATCCAATTCGTTGGATTTTTTGTAAATAAATATTTGTAACATTTATATAAAAAATATCAAATATGATACGCATAATTTTCATTAAAAGTCAAAATTATTACTTTCTTAGGGGATGCTTGGATATAATTTTATTTTTTTTTTAATTTGTTTGGATTTTTTGATTTTGTTTAGTTAATTTTAAAAAAAGTTGGTATGATTATTGTTAGTTGATATATTAAAATAATATTTAAAATAAAACAATTAAAGTTTATTTGATTTAAAGGTAGGAGAGAGATGATTTGAAGTGATGGTTAATTAGAATTATGTGAGTGAATGAATAGTGAATTAAAGTTGATATGCTGAGTAAGAATGATTCCGACAAATGACTTGGATGTCCCGAAAAGACATGCCATAATTCCGACAAGATACATCCCTTTATTTAATGCCTCAATCGAAGAGACACTTTTCCAGTATAATTGTCACCTTGATCGGCAAAAAATTGAAAGTAGCTTCCTAGGCGTATCGGTGATCTTCTCTACACCTAGGAAACTGAGGGTCTCCATGTTGTATCTAATTTTCTTAAAGACGGGTCCAACCCACCAAGAGGGAGCCAGACATATAATTGGGTCTACGTAGGTCCAAAACACCAACAAACCCATGAAGCATGCGAACGGCCCAGAAGGCAGCAATGGCTAAGTCTGGCGATCCCACATAATCGGCAGATTAAGACTCATGCTGACCTCTCTCTCTCTCTCTATATATATATATGGGGCGGATCAAATGAGGACAGCTCTTAAAATGCGGACAACTCTTAGCAACTACAGAGAACTAACCTAGCTACTACTAATCTAGCAACTACAGAGAACTAACCTAGTAACTATAGAGAACTAACTTAGCAACTACTAACCTAGCAACTACAGAGAACTAACCTAACAACTACTAACCTAGCAACTACAAAGAATTAACCTAGCAACTACAGACTACTAACCTAGCAACTACATAGAACTAACCTAGCAACTACAGAGGGGCATCTGTTAGCCCGAAGATCGGCTTTGTATTGTAGTTTTTGTTTCTTTTTCGTTCTTAGGTTTCTCTTTTTTGTTTTTCTTTTGTTTTTGACTGTGATTGTGAGACTCCATAGACCTTTGTACCTTGTTCGTTGATATTGTGGGCTCTCGATTTTGGGGCCCTGATCTATGCACAGGTTGGGGATCCAGCCCAATCCCCCGCCCTTCCGGGGCGTTGTTGTTTTTTTTTTTAAAAAAAAAATAAAAATAAAAATAAAAATAAAAAAAATACAGAGAGTTACTAACCCTGGAAGATTGTGATCTCTCCTGCATTTGAATGTCGAACCGATCAGCTGGTAAAGCCATGGCCCGAGCTATCCCGTCCTAAAAAGAAGAGCCCTTGCATGAATACACGTGGCGTCACCCTATGCCCATAGGTGACACATAACATTTATTGCATCCCCATCTTTTTCGTGTATTAATTCCCCTCTTCGAACATGGGAATAAACAACATACTCAGCACCATAACAAATAACATCCCCATCTTCCTCTTTGACACCAAAAAAAATAATAATAATAATAAAATAATAATAATAATCACTCACTGCATTCAATTATATGCAATCGCCATCTCTAGAAAGTTTTCTCTGTAACATACACTATCAATAAAACTTTCGGAGAAAATCTTCTCCTTGTCGATCTCCACAACAGATCAGCAATATGGGTGTCTCATTTATTTGTCGTATATTTACTTTTCTATTTTGAGGAATTCAGTTTATAACCGATTCTTTGTCTTCAATTACAATATAATAAACATTGTAACCCTTGATTTAACCACCCATATAATATCAATTATGACAGTTGGAGGTTGACCGTCAATATGATACTTGATACTATTGTTTTTTCAATATTGTTTTATTGAAAGAACAAAATTTTATTTAAAAATGAATGTTAATAATTGTGACTCCTTAACATTAGAATAAAATTACATTAGTAACTTTAAAAATAATTATAATAAAGGATATTTTTAGGACATTTTTAGCAATCGAATTTTTTCAAGAAACAATTTTCACTTTAGAGTTATAGATATCTTATAAATTCTCTAAGGTATTTATCTCCAAATTGAACCATCCAACATCATTCTTAAGTTTGGGACGAATTTAGTTTTAATAGTTTCTAAAGATTTTTTTTTTTCTTTTGTGGATTCATAATTTTTCATTTGCAACTCTACAGAAGTGATTCTTAAGTTTTACTTGTTTATTCATAAAAGGAAGTGATTTTACATTTGTTTCCCCCTCTTTCTCCTCAAGACCATCTATTTATTATCTTTAGAATTTGAGAGCCAACTATTTTTTCATGTTTCATACAAAGTATTTGCTTCAATTAGAAGTTGTGAATCACTTCACTAGAGTTAATATTGTGTGCAAACGAGATATATTCTCTTATATATGATCAATTTTTCTTTGCTCGTTATTGTGAGTGATCATTTTATGAGTAACAAATAATTTATATGGGATTAAAGTCAGAATTTACCTGGTCGAATTATGAGAGAGTGGATATTAGTTAGTAGTATTTTAGCTTAAAAAATATTGATTCAAAAATTTTCCAGCATTCTTTTACTGCGAGGTGGATGGTAGCAACTCTCTGCCTGCAATGCAACATGGTAGTACACGTTGGAGAGAAAAGAACTCACCATAGATATCTCTTGCTAAGGCAGAGGAATAAGGTTTGTGTACCCCAAGCCTTAAAGAACATTTTCTATTTATTCTCTTCTTTTTTGTATTTTATAAGCTCTTATCACATGATGTACAGTTTCCAGGAGACAATCTTGGACCCACAAAGGATCTTGCCTAACAGCCGTTGGATTCGGATGAAAACCAAAAGGATTTCAGTCAATCGAGAAAATCAATGGATGGAGATGATCGAGTCGACTTTACGCCTAGAAGCCAAGCAGAATAACGACATGATTGTGACTGAAAATGATTGGGACTGAAAATGCTCCATTAACATTTCTTAAGAAAGAGTCTCATCACCAC